TGCATGTTTTTCCTGACTCTTTGTTCAGTTTTCCTGTGTTCCACCTGTAAGTGAAACCATCTGATATTTTCCTTCTTCTTTCTGACTTACTGTGCTGAACATGACCTAGGCGAGGAGGAGGCAGGCTCTGGCTGACATCACCTGCAGTTGACAGCTTACAGAGTATTACTTATTAGGAAGATTGATTCAAAGAGTAACTTGATCATTTTCGTAGCATTTCCTGATGTATCATCAGCCTTTGCTTTTACGGGTAGAAGGCTCCTTCTTGTTACCATGTGAGCTAATGCAGAGCCCAGGTGTGTGCCTTTCCAGGCTTGAGTTGTTAAGAGCAAGCTTGTCCAGACATCTGGGTTGCGTCCTTAGCTTACCTGTTGTAAATTGTGCTGCAATAAAAATATATCTATAACAACAAAGAAAGAAATAGAACAAAACTGAGGGCAAAAATATAAAATGCATGACTCATTACTCCGGGAATACAAATCTATGGATTCACAATTATAAAAAGAAAGTAGATAAGAAGTAAAAAAATCCTGCTAACAAATTAATAAAACTGGAGATTGTATAGTATATATGTGAAAAGCATATTCAAAATAGTTAAAAGCTTAAAAAAAGAGAGCAGGTTGTTAAACCTGACAGACCAGTGTATTCATTCCAGATGTACCATCAGCTGGTTATGCCACGTTAGCAAGTTACTGCACTCTTCTTCCAAATGCTGTGCGATGATGATTAACTGAGTGACTTAAAGCACTTAGGTGCCAGGTCTATGGAAAGGCCTTGATGGGCAAGGGATAGTCCTTCTCCTCCTTGTCAACTTCCCTTGCCGTCAAGGGAAGATGACTGGGCACAAACAAGGGACCTGGGGAAGCTCTTCCTTTATTTACCCTTAAACAACATGCTGTACTGTTAAGTAAACATTGACATTGGTCTTCCTGCAATGAAAACGAGGAGGGCAGTTCTCTTCCTCCAGCCCTCCGCCTGGGAGAGGGTTGAACCTTTGATTTCCTAAGGTGATCCATGCCCACCAGCTCTGAGCACCTACCATTGTCTCCCCAAAACCAAACCAGTCATTTTCAAACAGAAAATCTCGCCCACCTCAGGACCACTTCGGTGCTTATAAATAAAACTGGCCTCTTGACCCCAGGCCTACTGAACAGAATCGCTGGGCTTGAAGCCATTAAAAATAAGCTACTCTTGGCTATGCTTCTGCGTAAACACAGGGAAAAACGCTAGTCTGCACACTGGTCTCACTTCCTGCCCTTTGCTTAAGCTGTTTCCCTGGCCTGGAGTCATCTTTCCTCTTTTGTAGAATTCTTACGCATTTTAAAAGGACTGCTTCTTCTCAACATTTCCCAGCTCTTCAGACCTGAAGTTAATTTTGTGTCTTCATCGAGGCATTTGTCTGCCTTATAGTGCTTCGTTTGTGGTCCATTGAATGGAGCACTCCAGGGGGGCAACGCTGCCCCTCCTGGCTGTCACCCGGGTCGTGCATGTGTGCGGTTTGCCTCTGCATAGAATGGGGTTCAAAGACAATTAGATGAATTTGGATTGATTCCCCAGTAAGAGTGCATGTTTGTGCACATTTTGAGGCGTAATTTGTGATCTTCGTTTTTTCTTTATCCTCTCCTCTGGATATTGCCCGTAAGACCAGTTGAACAAATCCCCCTGAAGTCCATTTAAATCTAGACTATGTAGGAGAAAAAATGCTGCACTTCAGTTCTGAGTTATTTCCCTCCCCAGAAATAGATTTGATCATTCTTCTCACTGAAGAAGCAACTTTCACACCTTCCTTTGAGGTGCTAAGGTCAACTGTATGCTGTTGCGCCTCCATTCTGCCAGGGGTGGAGAGGTGCAGAGATGACCTCTGATTTCTAGTAAGATGGACACCTGTCTACACTTGTTCTTGACATTTGTCATTTTGCTCGTTTGGGATGACGTTCAGTGGTTCTCCATCCGCTGGTCTACTGGACTGCTGAGGTCTTCGGCAATAAAAAGCGAGACACCTATAGGAGGGTGCCAGTTTTCTTATATGCTAGAGGGCCACAGGGAGAACAAGGTGTCACCTGGAGGGTTTGATTAGTGGGGGATGAGAAAGGGATGTAATCCCTGAGAATGACAGCACATTTTAGGAGTCTTCGAATATGGAATTGTTGCCCCTTTAAAGAATTACACTGATGTCTTGACTTTACACCTGGCAGCAAGATTAAGCTGAGAAAATTATTGGATTTTGTGGATGAACTTAGATTTTCAGTGGGTAGGTTAGGACTTATGAAAGCAAGAGTGTTTGAACATGTGGAAGAGACTACATGGCTGTTGCAGAGAGGGAGTCTTTGCAAATTTAGGGAGACTCGTCTTTTCAATATTCTTTTCTTTAGACTTCCGGTGGTTGGGAAGTTATTCAGTAAGATGAATGGCAGATGCCACAATTAATGGAATTCACAAATGAGTAGCTCAGGAAATTTTAAATTTAGGGAAAAGAAGGTCATTCCTCCCATGGCCCCTCCAGGGCATTCAGGACCACAAAGTGACAAAAGATGATGAGAAAAGTTTACTGAATTTGTTGAGAAGAACTGACTGGCTTCTAGAGTAAATTTAGTGACGATTTGTTGACAAGGGGATGAGATAATAATGTTGAGAGGGGTCTGGGGCATGGACATGTGCCTGCGTACACTCCAGGTGTTCCAGAGAGTCCCCTTGTGTTGATCCTTTGTAGTTAGACACCCCCTTCACCCCACCCCGATAGTTTTGCCTATTTCAGAATATAATAAAAAGTGACTGATATTTGTAAACGACAGTTTGTAAAATAACTTACAAACTAAGTTATTTTATTTCACTTAGCATGGTTTTTGCTGTATGTAAATTTAAAAAGGGTTCTAAATGCCAACAACTTCCCCCTCCCCAAAACAATTCAACCAAACAAAATAGGACTCTAAGATGGATGGAGGGAAAGGGTGTTAGTGGAGCACATGGGGACACACTCACACCAGTAGTTCCCACTGAAATTAGGTGAGTTTCTTAGTTTTAGACAAGTGGTAGCAAGGATGGCGAGGAGGCTACATTGCACTTGACCAGTTAATTTCTCTTCAGCAAGTGCCTTTTCTTCTCTGACCTTTCTCCCTCACCCATCTCCTGGGGAACACACACACAAACACACACACACACGCACACACACACGTGTATGTATTTCAGTCATGTGTACATACATCTTCGATTCAATCCAGGTTTATCAGAGGACACTGAGGCCCTGTGGTAGTCCTAGGACTTGACATACGCTAGAACTATGCATTTGTTTCTCAATTCAGGGTTTATTTTGCAAAATTTTCCTCACTTGTTTTTTATATCACTTTTCTTTGAATTAATAGGAATTTTAAAACTTATTTGAAGATAATGGAATGTAAAAATTTTATTTTTGAGGCCTGGAATTGGAATTTTCTGATGTAAAATATTAGTAGCCATAGTTATACTTAATCCTTACTCTGTGTTTTGGCAGCATTGTTTATTTCTTCAAATTAAATTACATATGTGTGTTACATGTAAGTGTATATGTATAACTATTATAAAGGTCCTAATTCCTTTGAATAATAGCTCATTAGGAAATAGCTGACCTTTGTTGTGTTTTTCTATAGTTTTAATATTCAAAGCATAGGAGGATGTTAATTTTCCAAGGAGAAATGCGGACAGGATTTCTTAGAACATCTATCATATTCATCAATTATTACTTTCATATAACTATTTTCCTGTGATTAACATGTTCATGTCCTCATATATGTTGATCACATATTTTATGATGGAATTTGGGATTTATAGGGAGACATAAGCAGATGTTACCATATACCAAAGGTCTTCAGAGAAGGGTGACACATTCTGTTGGGATGTGCTACTCTTGTTGCTGGTATTGAAGTTATGGTAAATCTAACATATGACTGTTTTGCCATAAATAAGATTACTTTGCAGTGTCTTTGAATGTGTCTGAGGGTAAATATCTGATGCTTTTTATATATGCAGAAGGCAGACTACAAGTCTGAAAAGCCCCCAGAGTGGCCACAATTTACTAACAGTAAATGCAATAAACCTTATGCCTACTGCATGACAGGTGCTTTGCATTTATTGCCTTATGTTATCTCCAGAAAAATCTTGTGATAGTCATTGCCACATTTTACAGAAGAGAAAATTGAAGCATCCGAGTTTATAAAGTTGCCAAAGTTAAGCGTGTAGAGCTGAGATTTTCACTTAAGTTTGCATAGCTCCCACCCCCTTCATTTTGAGTCCAGTTGCTTCCAGTTTTAGTCACTCACAGCAATACTTTTTCAGTATCTGCTCCATGACAAGCCTGTAGGGCATGAGGAGCCTGCTGTGTGCTCAGTGGTGCCTGGAGTGGTCACCTGGGTTGACCGAGTGGCCAAGGAGACCCAGGCTCTGTGCCTGGGGACTTGAGCAGAGTCATACATGAATGTGCCATCATTTTTAAAAGCAAGGATGTTGGAAAGACATTTTAGAAAAGTTTCCACCAAAATGACGCATTTCCCCTTTAAAACAGACTAAAAGACTAAACTTGGGAAAATCACATGTGGAAGAGCTCTTTTCTTACTGATATTGGATCAAGGGGTATATAGTAATGATTTGCTAACATTTCCATGATAAATTATTATTAACACTACATTTTACTGTCAGATGAACCTTTGCAGCATTCAAATTATATTCTTTGGAATATGCCTTATAAAGAACTGCATATGAAAATATATTACACAGCATGTAACAGTCTTAACACTGGAACAAGTGAGTAGGTTGCATAAGTAACACCATTGCTTGAGTAATATCCTTTGAAAACATTATGATGTGATGGAGCAATTTATGTTTGGAGTACCATTTAGTGTTTTTGTAAGGAAGAAGATGGGCAATTAGGAAGCTACTGAAATGATTTTAATTTCATTATTCAACAGCATTGATGCGCTACTTTCTTGTTCCAAGAATGTGTCCATTAACAGTGATGTTTTCCCTTACAGCTTTTCTGGGAGAAGAGGCTACAAGGACTTAGTGCATCAGATGTAACAGAACAAATTATAAAAACCATGGAACTCCCTAAAGGTCTTCAAGGTATTATCTAAGTTCAGTTGGGCACCTTCTGTGTGCCAGGCTCTGTGTTAGTTACTGTGGAGTCTGAAGTGACTGATCTTTACTTGGGGGATGGATCATGTACCTTGCTGGCTGGTTACATCTTGCATTTTAGTAAAACATATGTGAAAAGCCCATATGTTGCAGGGCTGCTACAACCAAAGGTTCTCTTCTGTGTAAAATTTTGACTTTAGATAAGGTTTATCCACTAAATCAGCCCAGGTGCTGCTTTTAGAACTAAGATACAGGCACACTGCAGAATTTCCAGACTTCCTGCTGAAAGCCCTAAGTGCTGGACCCAACACTTGCTCTTTCTCTCATCCTCTTACCAGAACAGCTAACAGTCTGCCTTTGGTCTCTCCCTTAACAAACTGCCACTGCAGGTAGCAGTAAGAATAGCACCTTGTTCCACGGACAGAAGCAAGTGGGACCTGCACCTGGGGTGGAGAATGCCTTTCTAGTCTCCCTGTCATATCATATATTAATTCCATATCCTACAGATGCATAGCTTTTCAAGTAGTAGAACCTCAGCTTCTGAATGTGTTACTGATTGCTCAAAAATCTTCATTACTCATGGTTAGAATATTGTCTTGCTACTTCTATGTTCTTGCAAATGATTGCCTTAGTTACTTGAACAGTATAGGACATTACGCAGTGCATTTAAAGGTAGCCACGGCACCAGCTCCCTACACATAGTCAAGGTGTACGATTACTAAACCTCTTGATTTGGATATTGTGTTTCGTATTTGAAAAAGCTGCAAAACGTACAGGTACAGCAAGCTTTCACGGGGTTTTCATTTGAAGTCCTAACACAAAGAAAATTAGTGTTGAGATACTGCTTGAAATTAAGGTCAAATGCTAGAGGAGCAATTATTCCAGGACTCCAGGCCTACATTAATAGGAATATTTGAGTGTAATATTACTTTGGTTGGGATTTAGGGTATTAAAACGTTTGACCTTCTTTGAGCAAATGGAGCCAACTTCTAAAAGGTTTAGAATCTTGAAAAATAGTCTAAATGTTCATTTTGAAGTGTTAAAAGTTTTATTAGAAGTTTTGGCTATTTTGTTATTATTTCCTGAAATTTGCTCTTCCTTGGATTGTAATTACTAAGTCTCTGTTTATCCCTTTGGCTGGTGTTGTTTGAAATGTAGCATCACAAATATTATAGGTCATTTATGGTTTGCTCAACACATATAGACGCTTCCTTTAACTGCTGCCTATTTCTAATTGCAGGAGTTGGTCCAGGTAGTAACGATGAGACCCTTTTATCTGCTGTTGCCAGTGCTTTGCACACAAGCTCTGCGCCCATCACAGGGCAAGTCTCTGCTGCTGTGGAAAAGAACCCTGCTGTTTGGCTTAACACATCTCAACCCCTCTGCAAAGCTTTTGTTGTCACAGATGAAGACATTCGGTAAGGCAGTTTAGCATGACTCTAATCAACTTTATACCCCCTGCTAGTTTGGGTTGGCATATCTAGTGATGGATCAATCAGAAAGTTCATTTTTTTTTTTATTTCCATAAATTGAATGGAAGGTGATAAGGGATGTTTAAAACAAACATGTGCTTATAAAATGTAGAGATGCAGTGTGTAAGGAAGAATCCTGTTCCTGTCCAGGGGGCAGATTCAATAGAGTTTTATTCTCTGAACATCATTTTTTGCAGTGACTTTTGCAACTTGGGATTCTTTCTATTCTAAAGAGCCCTTTCCTCTCAGTCACACCTGTTATGATTACTTCCTATGTGTGTTTGTCTTCAACCCAATCTCTCTTCAAAGTAGATCATAGAGATGCTGCTTTAAGTGCAGTTGTGTTTCAAAGTTCAGTTACTTCTCTTGATTATGTTTACCTCACTTAAGCTCAATTTAGAGATTTATTTATCTCTGTTTCACCTTACTGCAAGTAAAGATTTAAGGTGTCTCCAAAAACAGAGGACTCACAGAGAGGCACGGTGAGGAGCAAATGGGAGAGACGGAGCAAATGGGAGAGACGTAGCAAAGGGTAAATCAGTGAAACAGAGCCAGGAATGAAGAGAAGACATGAGCTCCTCTATTAACATGTTTTACTCTTTCTAAGCTTCAGCCACAAATTAGGTTTTTAAACAGTGAACAGTGAAAGGAAAACACATCAGTCAGCTTGAAAATGCCCAGAAAGTAAAGCAAACCATTGCTTGGGAGAAGCAAAACATTTCCAGGTATTTAGACCAGAAAGAAATTTGGTATTATTACTCTATAACAATACTACAGTATATTGTGTTTTCTTTAAAAATAGAGCAGTGGCCATTCTTCATTCTTTCCATCTGAAATGTCAACCAGTTAAGTGTTCCTGGAATATTTTTCCTAGACAAAACCAGCAGATGGCACTTTTGAATCATATAATTGCAAAATAGGCTTTATAATTTGTATGTTTTTAAAACCTATAAAAAGTTGGCATGAAAATGTTTGCAAATGCTTGAATTTGGCTAGGTTTGTAATTGGAAAGCCTTCCTTGGATTTTAAAGTAGTTTCTTTTATGCAGATGTTGAATAGTTTCAAGTTGCATTCAGGTACCTTGATTGCACAGAATTTTGATCAGCTTATTTTTTTAAGAAAAACAAAATATGAGAAAAACAAAATCGAGAAGAATTAACTTGCCCCTATATTATTCTTACCCTTGAGGAAGGAAATTACTCAGGAGACAAGTTCTTTTCTGTCTTGGGATGAGTGTTCCATTAGTCAGCAGGGATTCTAGCAGGTCATTATGGGTGCTGACTGAAGTTCTCTGAGTGATACATGGGAATGTTGATGGCCTCAACACAGATATTTTGATAGTAGAGGAAATGCGCTGAAAACTAGATCATTGTGATTTCCTTTTAGAGTAAACTTGTCTAACAAATTGCTCATTTGATTTAACAGAAAGTTTTTAAAACAGAAAGTATTAAGCAAACGTTTCTTATTGGATTAGCACAGGTTCAAAATAAAGTGCTACAATTGGAGTTGTTACACTTGCTGCAATTGTGGAGCTAATGTTCTGCTTATATTAAACTTTCAACTGAAAGTGTCCATAAAACATATATTTTTTCAGCACACTTGATAATATTGTCTCTTATGGGCATACTTGTTTTCTAACACTGAGTGACAAAATCCTCACAAATTTAGCAGCTAAAAGTAGTACCCGTGAATAGCTCATCATTTGTAGATCAGAAATCTGGACCAGCTATGACTGACTTCTCTACTCAGGCTCCTACAAGAATGACATCAAAGCGTTGGCTAGATTTCGTTTCCTCTGAAGCTTGGGGTCATTTCCAAGCTCCTATAATTATTGCCAAATGGATTCCTTGTAGGATCGAGGTCCCTGTTCTGTTGAGGCCTTTTCTGTTTGTGTTGGGGGCTGTTCTTGGTATCAAAGACTGCCAGCTCTTGACCTCCACACTCCCTCCTCCTCCTCAGCCCTTTTAGGAAGAGCCTTGTTGGGTTCTTTTATTAGGCCAGGAGCTCTATGATAACCTCTTATTTGTTTAACTCAAGGTCTTTGATTAATAACCTAATCCTGGAGTGATAGCCTATCACTCACAAGTTCGGACCATTGTTAAAGGGAAGGAATTATATGGAATATATCCAGGGGTGGGGAAGGAGTGTCTTGGGGATTGGGTTAGAATTCTGCCTACTGCACACAAATGCTTTAATTTCAAGTTTCGCATATATGGAAAGTAATGCTCAAGTGAATCAGCAACAGATGTTAGAGTTTACCGTAGACTTCTCCGGCCAAAGGCGCCGTGTGTTCTGTTTTCCCCGTCTTCCTAATGGGGTTACTCTCTGGCAGTTGCACAGATGCTCCTATTCTCTTATTCGGAGGGAGAGACGACTGCCAATGAGATGGATATGACATTTGTCATGAAGTTTGAGGCTCTGAGCCACAGGCAAGGCGAACTACACAAGAAATAAACAATGTGTTTATGACCCTGCTCTGCGAAGTGAAAATCGGTTAACTTCGGTTTCTTTTGATATGACAGAGGTTGTAGCGTACAGATTAATTTAAGGCCCGCCTCCCTCATTTTGAAAATTAAAAAAGAAAAAGAGGAAGTTTGTGCCTTTTATCTCTTTGGAGCTTAATCACTTGGAGTTTTGTCATTTGGAGTTTAATAAAGATGACGGAGGTTTTCGTGGCTACACTGTACATGTTCACTTCACCACACGGAGGTACCCTCATGAGGTAGAGAGATAAAGTGTCATGGACTGAGATAGAGGAAATGTAATGTTCCAATTTACGAAAGCCCCAAGGAGGTGAATACCTCTTTGAGGAGGCCAAGGCCCCCCCCCCAGCATTCCTGCTGCCCCCTCACTGGTCACTGGGCTTCTCCATCTCCAACTCTCATCCACCCTAAGTACTTTTCTTCTGGTCTCAGAGGCAGTTTGTCCTGTTTTCAGTTCAAGCCCCTTCCCTCCTACCCCCATCCCCAACTGTAGGCTTTGCTATTTTCTCTTCCCTGTTTTTCAAGGCCTTTCACTTCTAAGTCTTTCCCCTTCTCTTGTGTTTCTTCAGCCTTTGCCTCTCTACTTGGTTCTAGAGGTGAGTTTTTGTTTACCAACCTTGCTTGCTAAAACTGTTTTAGGATTCGCTTTCTGGGCTTCTCGGGGTGCTACCCTCAAATGTTTTCGCTTTTTAAAGATGAAGTGCATACCAATAGTTTTTCTTCCCATGTTTTCCATCTAACAGTCCAGAACCTTTTTTGGGGTGTGCAAATTGGAGTTATCAGCTCTCACATTTTAGGTCTTATTGCACCCTCCAAGACTCAGCCATTTCTGGTGTGTTCTTAACCTATTAGGCTTATCTCAGTTGAAAGGGATACTTTTCAGTTTCTGTCCTCTGACTGTAAGGATCATGTGGTTTCGCTTCTTGGTGAGGACCCATTGCCAGCAACCGGGGATGTCAGGAGAGAGCTCTGACTGGCTTTCCCTGAACAAAAGTCGTTAAAAGCCAAATGAAATCCCAGCTTAGGCCCTCCCTGGTGGTGCAGATGGTTGGGGGCAACACTGCAAGCTAGCCACAGCCGCTTCAGTACAAGTTCAGTCCTTGTCCTCGGAAGTGATCCAGTTGGCATGGCAGACAGCTCCTGTCTTGCCCACTGCTCCCCTCAGCAGAGTACTTCACTGATCTGCCTGTTCTGCTCCCCACTCTGTCTCTGCTGAATTCTCTCACTGCCCCTGCACGTCTGGCCTGTACCCCAGTTCTGTATGCATCTTTGGAAAAAAAAAAAAAAAAAGAAATCCCAGCTTATTGTGTCCCCATTTCTTCCGTCTTACTGAGCCTCACTAAACAAGTCTCTTCTTTATTTTCTATGTCATTTCCCTTTCCTCTCCTTCCATTTCTCATTATCATTTCTTGCTACAACCCCAGTCTTCATATCCTTGAAGTTCTCGGAAGCTGATGAAAAGGTGGCTAAAATGTACCTCTTCCTATCAGAATCCTCTGTGAGATGAGGGAGTTTTACCTGCCTTTCTGAATAATCACCCCTCCTGTTGGCAAAGATCTACTACTATGTGATTTGGCTTTCTGACTGTAGAAGCAACTTCTGCAAAGTGTTAAGGAAATTTTTCTACTATGTTCATGATTTTGAAGTAAATATAAACTTTTTTAAAAAAGGTTTATTTTTATTTAGCTATACATACAATTATGAGGGTGTAGGCCAGAGGTGTGTGTGGGCGAGGGGTGAGATGATTCATTGGAGACGGAGTGGGGAGCAGAATAGGCAGCTCTACTGAAATACACTGCTGAGGGAAGCAGTGAGTGAGACAGGAGAGTCTGCTGCGCCATGTGGGTCAGCTCCCTGGCTGGGGGTCGAACTCATGCTGCAGTGGCTGGCAATAGCTTGATAGCCTTGTGTCTTTAACCCCTATACCACCAGGGAGGCGCTGGAGTAAATACAAACGTTAATAACAACTTTACATTTTCATTACTTGGACAAATTATCAGTGCTTTCTATTCTGTTTCTTTTTAAAAGGAAACAGGAAGAACGAGTGCAACAAGTACGTAAGAAATTGGAAGAAGCACTGATGGCAGACATCTTGTCACGAACTGCTGATACGGAAGAGATGGATATTGAAATGGACAGTGGAGATGAAGCTTAAGAATATGATCAGGTAAAGTAACACCGTGGGCAGAGAACCTTGGGCATTGCCATGTTTTATTTTCTTGTATCTGTGGCCTTTCTAAACAGTGAGCCAAAAGAATTCTCTACATAGATTGTACCACTGCTGTTATTTGGTTCCTCTCTGCACTAAAATCCATATAAGTCATTGTGTCTGTTTGTTCTCACTATGTGAAGACATTCACACCCCTGTAGCTGCTTGTAAAGAATCCAGCCTCTTTATTAACACCAGATGGAACTCTCTGGTATCATAAGGGGAAAAAAGCAGGGAATGAAGAAAAGTTCCATATAGGTCTGTCAGCCTCATCAACTTGGCTTTTTAATGCTGCTCATTTGGCAAGATAGAACTTTACTTACATTTTCATACATATATGTGTATGTTAAAGGTTAAGATTTACTGTGTAACTTAAGATTTACCATCATAGAAAAATGTTCATGTTATCAAGCCTCCTAAGAGTAGTTGCAAGATGTTAGCTATAAAAACAGAGGCATGAGTGAGATGCAAAATACGAATATCAAATACAAGAATACTTCAGTTTGCAATTGCACAGTACCATCTCACCCGGATTAAACCATAATAAGATTATTATGCGTATCTTTTATCAATACATGTTATGGAGTAAAATAAACCTTAAATTAAAATAAATCATTGCTAGTTGAAAATTTTCTAGACATTCTCAATCTATGTTTGGATTTGGCTTGTATGCCCCACCATTTCTCACTTTAGGCTGATTTAATTAATTACAGAAAATATTTTCTTTAGCCTATAGAAAGCTACATTTGATTTCTTTGAAAATGACTATCAAAAGTTACTTTCCAAATAAAACATTGAAACAATGAAGGGATAGGCTGAGTACTTTTTCTTGACAAACTACTTACTTTCCAAATAAAACATTGAAACAATGAAGGGATAGGCTGAGTACTTTTTCTTGACAAACTACTGTAACTAAATGCTAATCAAGACTTTTAAAAATGTGGACCTAAGTGAGAAAGCATTGGAGTACTAAGCTTGTTTTTTTTCCTTACAGATAATATTCGGCCGACTTTCCCCAAGAGAAAACTCTAGAATTGAACAAAAAACGTTTCCACTGGGTTTTGCCTATAAGAAAAAAATGTACCCGAGCACATAGAGCTTTTTAATAGCACTAACCAATGCCTTTTTAGATGTATTTTTGATGTATATATCTATTATTCAAAAATGATGTTTATTTTGAGTCCAAGGACTTAAAATCAGTCTTTTGTAATATCAAGCAGGATAAGATGAAGCTGAGCTTTTGATGCCAGGTGCAATCTACTGGAAATGTAGCACTTCCATGAAATATTTGTTCCCCCCAATTTTCATATGAACAGATTAGGAATACCAAATAAATTCCCAATGAAAGATTATTCTGACTTCACTGTATATAAACAGATTTTTATACTTTATTGAAAGAGGACACCTGTACATTCTTCCATCATCACTGTAAAAACAAATAAATGATTATATTCACAGACTGATTGGAATTCTTTCTGTTGAAGAGCACACACCACAAATAGTTCCTCCGTAGGGTTCCTGATTTCCATTCAGCTGTGATCCCTGGGCCTTAGATCTGAAAAGGAGAAAATGTTCATCCATTTGTAACATGCCTCTGGATATTGTGCACATGGCTGCTTTCGCCAGAATTCTGTCATCATCGGCACATGTATTTGTTTGCTCTCACCTGTGACTGGTACTTTTGCTGGTTCTGTAAAAGTAAGGCATTTCTTCCTTTGGGCATGAGTAGATACTCAAGGACCTTTGGATATTACTAGAGGTTCGTGCTTATTGCTTTTTCTAGAACATTTTACATCTTCTCTCATCTACTAGCTTACTAACAGGTACAGGTCAAACCCTTTGCCACAGAAAAACAGCTTCTGGGCAGACTGGCTTAATGAACCAAATGGTGATACTTCCCTAATTAGTACCTAGACACCCAAGTATTGACATCTTTTTTTCCCCTATTGAAACTTATAAACAAAATCATTTAAATTCCTTGATATCTAATTACCAAAAAAAAAAAAAGCCTACCATTATTAAATGAGGTTTTTATATCAAAACATTACGTTACCCTGATACTAAGGCATGGAGGGAGTGGTTATCAGCAAATGTGGGAAAATAAAGCAAACATCTTACTTCACAACTCTTAGTTCTTTCAAAATTGGACCCAGAACTGATGTGGTTAAGGATGTGACCAGTTCCTTATGAGTGTCACCTGTTCCTTTTATTACCACTACCTCCAATACCTTTCTAGTTCCAAAGGAAGGGAAAGAAAATAACATAATCAAAGCAATATTACTGGCTAGGTTTGGACCTTATGCCAAATGACATAAATGCCCATTTCTAAGGATTCCTGATTTACATTCAGCTCAGATCTCTTGGCCTTAGGCCACAATTTCCTCAGAGCAGTTCTGATGGCAGATGACAGGGACACTTGCTGACTCCGGGGAGGCAGCGGACAGAGGGTACCTGCCCCTCAGACTATCCCAGTTGGGGTGGCAGGGGAAGTCAGCATTGATTTCTTTTTGGAGAAATAGTATGAAGAGTTAGAGTGGATGTGCGATTCTGTATTATAATCAGGGTGGGGGTAACTTCACCTGGTGATCATATGCTCTTTATAAAGCAATCCAACCAAGGTATCTGTATCTATATATGCTTTTATAAACAGCTCTTGTAAAAAAAACCAAAAAACAATGCACACACAAATTTGATTTTTGCTCTTAGGACTTTGCTCAGGTAGAGAACAAGGTGTGAAAGCCATGGCAGGTTGTCCAGCTGAGGACCATCCCTTATGTCCAGGTGTTGCCAACACTTCCACAGGATGACACGCCCAAAAGGAAACTCAGCACCACGTCCATCCCCCAACCCACCACCACCTCGCATTCCCAAAGGCTGATTAGGTTGCTCAGGCGTGACCCCAGGCGCTGCCCTTCCCTCACCTTCAGCACCCTTCAATCCAGTTAGGACAATCAGCGGCCTTTCTGGCCTCATCTTCTCCTTCATTCCACAGCCAGGGCCATTACACGACTTCCTTTCCTCTCTTTTCAGTGGTTATCTTTTCTCTCTTTCTACTGATTTTAAGCCTGTTCCCTTTCCCTTCTTCCCTCTCCAACCTTGTCCAACTCCATGTGGTCATCAGAATAATGATCCTTTAAAGAGATGGTGATCATATCATTTCCCTGCTCAAAATTCCTCTATTTGCACATGCAGTTTAGAATAATTTGAAATGAAAAAATGCTGTGTTTGAACCCTAGTTTGCTATTTGTGTGATGTTTCAGGTTACTTAACATCTGTGAGTCTGTCTTCCCTCAGTGAAATAGGAATGATAATACCTACCTCATAGTGTCGTGAGGATGCAGTGGGATTCTGCGTGTACTGTGTTCAGCACAGTGGTTGGCACACAGTGTGTGTTCACGCTGGGGCACATCATCCTTCCTGCTCACGGTGTCAGTTTTACTTCACTTTCGGGGCATTTGCTGAGCTATCTATCCTCCTTCTCCTCCCTCCCCCATAACACTTTATTTTTTGCTCTACGCCATTTTTTCCTTTGTAGAAATCTTAATCTGTATGTTTGTTGACTTTTTATCTATCTCTCGACTAGAATGTAAGCTCCTTGAGAGCAAGGATGTGTCTTGTTCCCTGCTAGAACCTAGCATTTAGCCTAGTGCCTGGCACAGAGTAAGCACTCAGTAATTGCTTGTTGAATACATGCGAAAATGACCAAAAGGCTCTCCATGATCTGATACCTGCCTATTTGTCTAGCTCATCCTGCCACTCCCATTGTACCTTCGACTCAAGAAAACAGCATTCGAAGTACCCTTTGGGTCTCTATGTCTTTGCACCTGCTGTTCCCTTTGCCTGGAACAACCTTTGCCTGCCTGTCCGGCAAGTTTCCCCATCATTGGTTCAGTCTCAGCTCAATGGCTACCTCCTCTGTGACACTGTCTCTGGTTTCTCCAGGCAGATGTTCCTTTTCCCTTTTCCAAGTTCTCACTGCACTTTGTAAATTACCTCTGTGGATGCACTTTATTGTATTGTAAAAGTTTTTGCATGTCTGTTTCTATTTTTAGACTGTAAGCACCATGAAAGCAGAGACTGATCCTTTCATCCCAATGTTCCCAGAGTCTAGCACAGTGCCTGGCAATACTAGTTTGTCAATAAAAATTTATTAAATGAGTTTGTGAATGAACTAAGAGTCTTGCAGTTGAGAAGTGTTGCAAGATGTATGTATTATTGAGGAAAGGAATGGCCTGGTGGCCTGTTATTCTAGAGAGGAGATCTAGAAAGCATTATATAATTTCTTTGAATAATTTATTTGAAATTTTAAAGTACTATAAGTTGACTAATGTAGAGCTTCATAGACGATTGCAAAAGATATAAAAAAAAACTTTGTGATCTCTCAAATGCTACCAAGTCCAAAATCAATATTTGCACTATTAGTATTTCCATAGTAAATGCTATGCGAAAATGTACAGCAATAAATTTTGAAGCTTTAAAAATGTTTGTGTAAGTCTTCAATGACTTAATGGAAGACGCGATGTATAAAGCGTAAAAATTGCAAAATTTTGTGCTAAGTACTAAAATGCTTTTGACAAGAGGCTTCAGCCTGCTGTCGAGGACTCCACAGCCTTCAGACCCCATCCAGTGACAGCGCTTTCTCAGCCGCTCGGCCTGCCTGTCTAGTGACAGGAATGAGTGGGTTCTCCAGGGAATCACACTTTAGAACTTGGGAGGCCCTAGACTTGCACGGGTGGGCAGAGCTCCCTCTCCCTTTGTCTCATCCTCAGTGCTGGGATACAGGTGTGACCCCCCGACAAAGGATACTTCAGTGGTCTCTGTGAAGCCTGCAGTCAGGGAGGTTCTATCCTGTTATGATCCAGTTTATAACAGGATTAGCTAAGGACAGTAGACTGGGAATCCGAGCAGTGGGCTCTTGGAATGAGTCAAAGGGTGGGGTGAACTTTAAGACTTCACTTTGCTCACTGATTTCTCTATAATAGTGCAGGTGAATTTTTTAATCTAGCTTTTATTTTTTTTTTAAATGTGGAATGAGAAAATTTATTTCTTTTACACTTATGCAGCATTTTATACTTTTCCACCATTGCTTGCCTTGGTTTAACATCATGTCTGAATTACACATTCACTGTGTAACATGTAATGGGTGCACATTAGCACCCCCACTTTGGAGCTGGGAAATATAAGCACCAAACCAATTAAATGACTTAATCAGGGCGTATAAGGTGCAGAGAGGGAAACTGGAGTGTAGGTTTGTGTCTTCTCTTTCTAGAACACTGTGTGACCTTCCAGTGTTCTTCCCCACCCAGGCAAGTGCCTCCCCCCTCAAGCTGTCCTCTCTGTGACAAAGAACTACTCTCTTTGGTTCTTCATTACATACAGTATGCCTTCATTGGACACAGTGATTCTTTGCAGGAAACCTGGTTCTTTCCTGTGTTAACTAGTTGAGGCTTTTCCTGCAGGTCTGCAGAGAAATCTTTGCAGAGATTACATCTGTCAGAAGTAGGCAGGTGCAGCTTCATAGCCACAGAGTGGTGGGAGATTTCATGTTTTCTTTCTGCTGTAATTATTTCATTTGCAGGTTTGCATTTCCTTTCAGGGTTTTTTTTTTTTTTTTTTTGCCTGATAGGCTTAATGTTGTGAAAACTTGGACACCAAGATGTAATTGGACTAATCTAAGCATCCAGGGAAAGACTTCTCAATGGGATGTGCACAGCAGTGTTCCTGGGGGGGGGGGGGGGGCAAAAGGGGTGGACAAATATCTGAACTTTTAATATGTATTTTCATCTTACCTTTTTCTGATTTAAGGTTTGAGTTTTTCTATTAATCTATATAACAAGTTAGTAGAGCAGGGCTTGTATTTCATTAGATGTTGGGATACAGGCTTTTGTTTTTGAGAGGGTATTATTATACAAGTTTGAGGATCACTACTGTAAGACTTGTCATCTGGGCTTCATGTACCCCTGGAGTTAAATTTCCCAGCCTCTTGCTATCACATATAAGTTGTGAACATGTCTCTTCTCCTGGAGCTGTATCCAGAGCTTCTATAAAATTCTCAGTAGAGAAGATATATATATATATATACTAGTACCCCATGGGTGATTATGTATTTCATAAGCAATAGCAACCCTTTCCTTCAAAAATAAATATAAGAAACCTGGTGCTTTTGGAGGGATTGGCATCTACTTTTGGGAGAGTTATCCTGAGTTACAGGACTGACTGACTGATTCTTTATAGGAAACCTAGTTATTTCCTGTATGCTTTGTTGAGACTTTTCCTGCACAGCAAAGAACCAAAACCAGGATCACTGTGAGTTGTATGGAGAGGTGGATGACGGTAAGCTGGTAAGCTTTCAGGGTGCCTGGTTGATCACAGCATGGTTTATTCTAAAAGATTTCTGACTCAACAGTAGCTAGCTGTGTGAAAAATGGAAACATTTGGAAACTTAAGGGATAGAAATAGCAACATGGTAAATTGTGCTGTTTAAGGTAGAAGTGAATGCCTTCTTTAAAAACCTTTCTCTGTCCCTTTCTGCTACCACCCCCCCCACACACAGAGTTACTTAGTATAATGTTATAAATGGGAAAACCACAACCTTACAGCTATGACTAGCATGCTTAAAAACTATTACAGCTCATGCTGGCAAACCAGAGTTTGGCTTATCAGAAGTTGCTGTGAGAAGAAGGTGAATTAGTCACCTAACACTGAAAACATTTAACACTAGGCGGGAGGGGAGAAAATGAGAGATTACTCCATGAGTCAAAACACACTCCCCTTACCCAGAACCTTAGATTCATTCGGGGAGTAGTGGCTATCTTTGGTGACTACTGAAGTTTTCGTTGTTTATTTCAATGAAATCCTCTAGTGTCATTGTCACATTCTTGCAGATGTGTAGAGGCAAGAGAAAACATGGATGAGAGTTAAAGAATGGAGATAATTAAAACTTTCAAGGGGCTTTCTATCTCACGTGGAGATAGGTGTCTCAGAGTGGAGATTTGGGGAAGAACATGTCCACTTAGTACTTGGTTGAGTCAAATGTTCCAAACTCAAGTTATCTAGTTTCCACAAATAAAAAGGGAAGCCTCTTATCTTTTCCATTTCTTGAATTAACCTTCCTTCCGACTCCTGGCTAATACTGCAGCCACTCACAGATACACTGCTGCCCCCCTCCTGCTCTTTCAGCGGCCATCTTGTGACCTTGAAGAGGCAAACAGGAGGGGCAGGCACTCCTGCAGGTGTGGAGGGGAAAGCCAGCAAGAGTCCGGTTCTCAACAACATTGTAAATTCTTGGACCAACAGGAATAATTCCTCCTGGGGTTGTTGGTTTAATCCACAACATGAACGTGTATCTTAGGTTTGTGTGTGTCTCTGTGTGTGTGTGTGTATGTGCGTATTTAAGAGCTTGCTAACTGGTACATACCTACACTTTAACCTCATCTCTGAACACTAATGTTCAGTTAGTCACCGAGGCCCGTCAAGTTTCCTTTCTCACTGTCCTAGTTTCAATTGCTACTGCGCATGTGCCGGCCAGTGCACTCCCCCTCCCCAAACCCCAACCCCCAACCCCAGGCTGAGTTACATCGTTGCTTTACCTGCTCTCCTTGCTGCCTTTTCCTCCAATTCTTTCATTTTCAATACTGCCACCAGTTCTTTCTCGTGTGATAATCTTATGTTCTGGGTCACGTATGCACTGGATTCCTGTCATTTTGTATCTAAGTCTGAATTCTTCAAACGCCATTTTGGCCCATGGTTTACACCCCTTACCTGTGGCTACTCCCAACTGAAACCTTTAACTTTCTCTTACTATGGTAATACATCTGCAAAGTTAGTGACCTAGCACATCGTCCATTTATTATCTCACAGTTTTTGTGGGTCAAAATCCTGACCCAGCATGACTGATTGAGCTGTCATGGGTTGGGGTGGGGGTGTGTTGGTTGGTCTGAGACTTTATCTGGAGGCTCTGGCGGGGTCTTTGCTTCCAGGTACGTTTAAACTGGCAGAATTCAGATACCTGCTGCTGTAGGACTGAGGTCATTCTTAACGCAGTCATTCTCCATTTTAGTTGCTGCTCACATTTCCTGGCTCATAACATCCTTCATCATTATTTTAAAATTAACAAAAATGGATCAAATTCTTTTTATGCTTTCTTTCTCATTGCCCATTCTGTCTCATATCTCCAACTCCAGGCAGAAAGATTAAGATTTAAGATTCTCCCACACACTGTTGGCTACAAGAACTAGAAAAATCAATCTCAAACGGTTTAAATAATCAGGAAACTTAGATCAAATGTTTACAAAGACAATGTGAGTATAGACAGATCCCCCGTGCAGCCCATCAGGGCCCAGAATTGCTTATGTGTAGTTCTTTGCCTCTGGCCCCCACTTTGGGTATCAGCCTCATTCCCAGGTCAGCAGTAAGATGGCTCCAGATGATAAGTTTAGACCTGATAACTTACTTCTAAGATAAAACACTTCTGAGACTGTTAGGTGTGGTTATTCTCCCACCCCCCAGATGGTCAATCTTCTGCTTGGACAAGACCAAGTTCTTCACCACATACTGCCTGGTAAGTGCTTTGGTAGCAAATACTAGCTCCGTTATTACCAGGGCCTTCAGCAAAGTTCTGTTGATGATTAAATTAATATTTAGATATTCTAGAATGATAATACTTAAAAAGTAATTGGTATTTAGTGCCATTCCATGAAAGTCTTATTTTTCAAGTTTACTTACTACACAGGAATACTTCCTTGCAGTCATCACATCAAATAAGCAAGAGTTTTTCTGCTGCTCCTTCACAAATAATGTAAGATCATTTAGGCATAATTGCTTTCTTTTTTCTTAATCTGGAGTAAATAAATGGCGTAAGAATAAACAATAAGGCCACAGATTGAGTCATCTTGAAAACACTTTACCTCCTGGAAAGAAAAAGCAATCATCTCCATTAAACTTTAGCAATGATATTTAATTATTATAGCAATTTCAAAGTCATAGGTCTTTCCTACCTTTAATTTAATATAGTATTGACTTTAAAAAATATATAGACTTATCTATATCACACTAGAACTGGTGTTAAGTGCATGATTCTAGTAAAAGAATAAACCAGTTCAGTGAGATAATGATAGAACTGGAGAACGTGTCCTGGCACACATTAATTCTACAATAGACTCCTCAGATCAGGCCAGCAGGAGGCTCCCAAGTCAGCACATAAAGTGAAGATATTTATAGTCAGAATTACTGGGGTAATCCTGTCCTTAAAATGTTCTAGATCTCCCATACATACACCTACAGCTAGGGATGTATAAATTTAGAATGTCATTCTAAAAATTAGTCTGAAACAGTGATTCTCAATTTGGGGTAATTTTGCTCCCCAGGAACAAAATTTTGGTCGTTGCTAAGGGAGCGAGGGGTACTGGGATATTGACATCAAAGGTTAGAGGACAGGGGTGCTGTTCGAAGCCCCGGAGTGGGTAGAGTAGCCTGCAAAATGTT